TTACAACATGTCCAAAGTATGTCAGACGAAGCCCCAGAATCCTTGCCTCCAAGGAGCAGCCTGGTTTAATGGTCAACTCCAAAATGAGGGATTTATCTTTCACTACTCCACAAACTGCTCTACAAATTGCTCCTCTAAATCTAAACATTCAGATTAAGACAGACTAGGAAGAAGGACTGGCCATCCACTTCTGAAATGGCAGGCCTCTGAAAACCCTATGTACAACAATATAATTTATTTACCTAATTAACAGAAAAAAATGATGGAGAAAACTGACAACTTGACATACACCAATAAAAGCTTCTGATAAAATCCTACAACTTGAGGAAACAGAAAAGGAGCAGCAAAAGTTCATGACCACCAGAAGGAAGGAAATAATTTAAAACAGAAATGAAAAACAAAAAAAAAAGAAATGAAAAACAAAACTGAACCAACAAGGTAAGAAGCTGGTTCTTTTTAAGATGCAATAAAATTGATAACAGAAAAAACCCTAAAAAATGCAAATAATCAAAATAAGAAATGAGATAAAGAGATGGAAGACATTAGAAAAGAACCAACTAAAATAAAAAGGTCGTTCATAATACAATACACAAAAAATAGCACTCAACAAATATGAAAGCCTAGAAAAAAATGGGAAAAAATATTTAGGTAGTATAATATTAGCTATACTACCTAAAGATCATAATGGCTACCCATCATAGGCAGTGTTTGGTGGAGCTCCCAGTTTAAGACAGGTGTGGAAGCAGGAGTGGCATCCACTTCTTAAACCACATGCCTCTGGAAACTCTCTGAACTTGGAGAAATGAGGGTAGTTAGAGAAAGGCTTCAGGCCTTTTGTTCATACGGTTGTTATGAGTCATGCTCAAGTCAACAACGGCAATCAGCAACAACAATAAAATACTACCTAAACAGATACCCAAATCTACAGACCCATTAACAAAAGAAACTAAAGATTAAAGTTTCTTAAAAGATAGATGATAGATAGATAGATAGAAGCCAAAACCTCCTAACCAGTCCTTCAAAATGCTTTTGTACATATAACTTCACATGGGAGTTCTATTAAACATTAAATAAACAGTGACATCAAGTCTGCTCAAGTCATTCCAGAACCCAGAATATGAAGGACTATTCCATAACTCATTCTACCCCAGCATAACCTGGTATCAAAGCCATATAAACATATCACCAAAAAAAGGAAAATTATAGACTAATATTTCTCATGAAGATAGACATAAAAACTTTCAACAATATGTTAACTAACTGAATTCAACAACATGTTAAAAAAAATAGATTACAATGAAGTGAGAATCATACCAGGGAGGCAAGAGTGGTTTGATCCAACATTTTAAAAAATATTAATCACCATAATCCACTGCATAAAAACCAAGGAAAAGAATTAGATTATCCCCTCAATCCATGCACTAAAAGCATTTGAAAAAAAATTACAGGTATTGATGGGAAATTTCTCAACATAATTAAGGCCATATATAAAACAAAGATGTGTTGCATTGGAAAAATCTGCTGTCAAGGACCTCTCCAAATTGCTAAAGAAAGAGGATGTTAGTTTAAAGACTAAGGTGGGCCTGATCCAAGCCAAGGTCTTTTCAATTACTTCAAACGCATCTGAAAGTTGAACAATGATAAGGATGACCAAAGAATCAATTCCTCTGAAATGTGGTGTTGGTGAAGATACTAAATTTCCCATGGACAAAAAGAACTA